CCCCAAAACCCCAAAACCCCAAAACCCCAAAACCCCTTTATAGTTTGTAATAGTTGAACTAAATTAGGTATTCAATAGATGGTTTTATTGCTTTGATTCTTCTTTAGGAGCGGGGTTTTGATCCAAAGAGTGGACGTCCCTTGCTACTAGGGAAGCGCCTGTTATAGTCAATGGATCAGCTGCTTGGGGAGCAGGATTGAAGTTTATTCTACTGATATCTTCAGGTGGTGCTGGAGTTCCTTCTTTAGCTGGTGTGGATTCTTTTGGTACATCAGAAGCCTCTTTCTTTTCTTCAGGTTTTGGAGTTCCCTCTTTAGAAACAGGCACCGGAAGAGTTCCCGCTCCTTCTAATGGGCTTTGTCCAGGGAAGGGAGGAAGTTCAATCTTAGCCTCTTCAGTATCCTCACTGCTGCTTTCTTCCGAGGACTCCTCCTCACTAGATTTCTCAGGATCAATATCCTGGGTATCTTTAAACATTGGTCTACCGAATTCTGATACTAATGGGTCTCCCTTCTTAGTGGGCGTTGGAGGTCTTTTCTTCTTTTTCTTCCTTTCTTCAGCTTTTTCTTCCTTTTTCTTCTTCTTCTTTTTCAGTTCAATTTTCTCATTTTCCTTCTTTGGATCGTACAGTTCTATTTGTCCTTGGTTCTTGTCATCATCGTCGTCTAAGGAGACATCTCTTGCTGTGTATGAGCTTGAAGAGAAGGAGTCAAGGATCTTTTGAGGGGTGTCTTCTGGCTCTTTGTCACAAGACCTTCAAACTCTCTTCACATGAGCAATTGAATCAAATATGATCAGCACAAGGTGGACTACGATCACCAGGAACACTACTAAGAAAAATATGAAGGCCTTGTCGTGGTAGAAACTAAGCTCATTGCTGAAATCCCCTCTCATTATTGGGAATAAGTAGCCGTGCATTGCTACGAGACCTCCTTCAGAGATCATGACTGCTATGTTCTTGGTCCTGGAAGTGAAGGGTAATACAATAGCTACATACATCATTGAAGCCATGTGCATGATCGTGCTTAGGCAAAGAGTTAGATATTTATCCTGCGGCCATGAGATTATCATCCCAACGAATAGAAATCTCCGGAGGAAAAATTGCCAGAAGTAAGCATACTGGAATGGACTAGACACTTTGAAATCAGAATAGAGGATATGTAGCCTAAATTGGGTCGGAGGCAATCCAGTCTTGAGCTCAGTGCTGAATTGCTTTACATTCCATCCTTCATAGAGAGGATATCCAAAGACTGTGATCGCTCCAATAATTCCGAGGCAGCTTGAGATTATCGCCAGAGTATCATCAAACCTGATATGCCTCAGGTTGAGCATTGACAAGAAGGTGAGTCTCATGTATCAGAACAGCATTAGGACATAAATCGAGGCATTCCTGATCTTGTCCAGCTGGGTCTTAAGTCGATTGTTTTTCTTTCAACAATACCTTCTCAACATGTAAGCAACGAATATGGTTATCAACAAAATTAGCCAGATCAGGATGAGATCAGCTGCATTGTAAAGAATCGAGGAGGTGGTGTAGCCTGCTCTGATGAATTTCCACTCTGTCTCTTTATGGAAATCATCTCTCTTTAATTTCCCTTGAGATAGCCTCGTCAAAATTAGGAAGAAATTAGCATTAAAAACATTGAAATATTTGCCAAACTTTACAAGACACGAAGGAGAGTAGATCATCATGAGTGGGATGAAGTTCACATATTGGATAATTGTAATAGCTTGCCATGCTATTGCCATTGAATGGCCCGCTAATGCAGATATAACACCAATAACAATGATAACAACCATTCAGAAGAATATTGGAAGAGCAAATAGCAACTCTCCGCAAGTCTTATTTGATTCTTGAGGGAATGGCTTGAAGGTAAAAGATGTATTAATTGTTGCAAAATTATAAGCACTGTTGATAATATGACTCTGTTCTTTGAAGTGTAAGGTCAGAGTTTCACTTCCATTTCCAACAATCTGGCCACTAATCTCATAAGAAAACCATACTGTCATATTTGGCAAAGGTGTTTTCAGAATAGTAGCATTAAGCAGCTCATAAGTAATATTATACGGACTAAATGGGCCAGAAAGTTCAAAACCAATATCGTTTGTGTTATTGAAGGCAGTATCTAATATGATCGTTTCATTGAAAGTTAAAGAGATTAAGCCTTTTTCATGAGTCACCGCTACAACAGAGGGAACAGAGATTTTCCAGCAGATTGATGGCTGCTCATGACCTCACATCCATCCATTTTCAACTACACATGCGCTTGAGCAGCCATCTCCATTATCAGTATTTTTATCATCTCAAGCTTGGTTAACTCTCCAACCATCTCCACAGATTTCTGTGCATGTATCTGGAGCTGTTAATGATCCTCCTAAACATTGCCATCCTAATTCTACTGTACAAACGCTGGAGCACCCATCCCCGTTAATTGTGTTGCCGTCATCGCAGGGGTAATTAGCCATATCGATACCATCGCCTCAAATCTCCCAGCATACATCGACTGTGTTTCTGTTTCCTCCAGTACATTGGTATCCAGCTTCTATAGTTCAAGTCGACGAGCAGCCATCTCCATTATTAGTATTTCCGTCATCACAGGCATGATTGATTTTTCTGCCATCACCACATATCTCGTTGCACACAGTAGGGCCCAACGGCGACCCGTTAGTGCAGGTAAATCCTGCTTCAAAAAGACAATTTCTGTTTCATCCATCGTCATCGTTGTTATTGCCATCATCTCAATCGTATTGAGAGTCTCCCATGAAGAATCCATCACCGCATTCTTCAGGACAACAAGTGCATCTCTCATGGAAGATGTACCTGGGTCTCCAGCATGACATGCAGTAGAACTGGTCATCACCTGAGCATGTTTGGCACTTGTCGTGACATCTCTTGCAGTCGTAGTCCCAAGTGGTTCTTTCATATCATTCTGTGTATCAAGTGAAGTTATAGTCAATATCACAGATCTCACAGTCTGATTGAGTATGGTGGAATTTGTAGCATTGTGGTTCCTGCTTGTACATCAACTCAAAGCTAGGGTTCTGCTTTGGATAATCATAAATCTTGATCTTCCTCATGTAGCCGGAAAATCCACTCCCAATCATCATTGTAATAGGTGCTTCAGGGCTGTAACGAAGTGAATTAGAATAGAACGATTTAAACCAGAATTTGACTTTTGGTAAGCAAGGATTAGCAACTTTCAATGCTTACTCGTTATCATCATATATTGTATCATGGAATCCTCATGATATTGGTTCATCATTCCATTTAACTCAGATTCTGCTTTCCAGTAACCCCACTCTTGCAACCGAGGCTTGTGCTATAGAACATTAGCGTGCATTCATATAAGCTTATAAAAGACTTTGAACGTAACATTATTTTTGGATTTTTAAGATCTCTCAAGATTAACAGGCCCTAACAGTTTAATAGCTTAGTTAAGCCTTAGAGGAAGATCTCCAGTTTTCTTACCGATGAACCTATAATAAACGTTATTTCTGATAAGTATTTATTAATGTAGGAATACACGGAAAATAGTTGAAGAGCAGATTTTGAAGAAGTTATTATTATTATGATTGAGGAAATAAAGAGTTTAACGGCTCAATTTAATCTCTAACGATATACAATAGGCTAGCTACTATTTTACAATAACGTAAGCCAAATATTTTCCATAGCATAAATATTGACTTTAAAACTCTTAGCATCGTCGTGAGCAAAAATTAATCCCTTTGACTATTAATGATATGTCTCTAATTATGTAAAAAGTATTTGAAAAGAAATACATCGAAACTCTTTGATATTAATCCCAAACTTACCACTTGTTATACATCCGAGGAGCGTCAAAGGCGACCTCATAATTCTGAGTGTTTCCATTGAGTGTAAAGAACAGATTTGGACTGACAAAGCCAAAACTCCATGATCTAGGAGCTGGATCTGTAGTCTCTATCAAGTTTCCATTCCTTGTATCATAATGTTTGAGCCATACATCTACAGAGAAGCTGAATATATCCCAAGTGACAGGTGGTGCTACAAGTGTCCTTCCTTGGAACCAGACTCCATTATGATGAGCAAAGATGCCTGAACCATCCATTGGAATGGGAATGACGATAGGAGCAGGGATGCTCCCATAATCATGAATCGGTCTCACCCATCTGAATGGAGCGAAGTCCCAATAGTGGATAACATGTGGCTCAAAATCTTCTAAACATTTTGGTTGGTCTATTTTCTTACAAATTTGGCAATAATCAGTACATTGATACCCAAACGCATCCAATGCATGATATCTTTCAAGAATTTCTCCTGCTACAAAATATACTTCATTGACTAGAGCAGTGAGAGGATATAGAGGAATATAAGGATCTGTTTGATCAGCCCAAGGCGTAGCTCCCAAGCAGAATAGGAATTTCACATCATCCACCATAGGACCGTCCAATTCGAAGGTGTCACCGACTGTGGTGCATTGATCATGATTCGCCATATATGCATTAACTCTAGTCTTTGTTTTTGCTGTATTTGCTTTGAAATTAACTGCAATATACGACCATCCATATTTCGCAAAAACGCCTAATTTAAGATACTGATAGTTATGTTCAAGCCCAAGATTAGGATTTAGAAGGTGAGTATTTACATCATTTGGGTTCCAAATAACGGTAAGCTGTCCTCCGATCAGAGCAAGGCAAAACCTGATGCTGTTCAGCTCAGCAGACCCAGCTGCTTCGAGCCATACTTTTCACCAAAGAGTCTGGTCTCGAGTAATCTCTGAAAAATATATCCAAGTGTGAAATCCAAAAGTGTCACCAAAGACGACTCCAGGTCCATTAGCTCAGGCAGCATGAAATCCTTCAAACATCCATCCCAGTTGTGTCACAGTAGGTTCAAGCCAGTCAGGCCTTGAAACCTGTGGATGGACTCCTCCAAGCAAGAAAGTTACGCCTCCAATTTCAGCAACTGTGTCTTCCCCAGCAATATCATTAGCAAAGGTTGTCCTATCAATTTCCGCCTTAAACAAATTTAGGTAAAACGTTGCAGTTGGGTATTGACAGTTGGCCACCATAAAGACCCCCATCAAGACCCCTCAGACCTTCCAAAACCTCGATCTATAATCTTCCATTTTAGTCTACAAACGCTGTTATCGATCTAAATCAATTTTTATAACTTATTTGGGGTTTTGGGGTTTTGGGGTTTTGGGGTTTTGGGGTTTTGGGGTTTTGGGG